CGGGGCCGGGGCCGGCCCCCCCGTGGCTGCCAAGGGGCTGCGGCCGGTGTTTGCTGTGGCAAGACGCAGGGGGCGCTCAGCGGAGCATCCTTCGGGGCGGGGGGACGCCAACTTTTGGAGCGTTATAAAGTATACTTGAATTCTCTCTGCCTGGTGGGGACGCCAACTTTTGGAGCGTTATAAAGGATACTTGAATTCTCTCTGCCTGGTGGGCACGCAGATGGGAGGACGGTGCTGATGCGCGTTACGGGGGCCCGATTAGGGGTGAGGCACCGCTGCATGTTTGTTGGCCTGCTTGCTTTTTTGACTAAGTCTTTGGAGTTTTAAAAATAGTCCCCTTTCATTTTGTAACCCCACCGCTACAAACAGCCTACGGCAGAAACAGGCAATTTATAAATTGCCAAATCCTCTTAACGCAGTTAGTCTGGCATTTACTCTCACCCATTAAGGGGCAGTGGACTGCAGGACTCACAGTCGTACTTCCCCCTTTCTCCATTTGCTGCTGATTTATAGCCAGTAGCTCTTCTTTCCCCTCCTCCTGCTCTACACTAGTGCCCTGAGCAGAGGAAGGGGATAGCTGAGGCTCCCTTTGCTCCCCTGTGCTTGCATTCCCTTTGACCACCTACTTCCAGGAGTGGGAAGGCGAGTCAGAGCCTCCCAGAAGCTGTTCTCCACTTTTCCCCAAATCTGTAAACCACATAGCTTGCACAAGGCAACACAAGGTCAGATGATTCTCTTCTTCAACAAGCCCTCTAAGTTCAACCTACTTCTTTCATGAAGAAAGTGATTTGTTTCATTTAACTTCATTTGTTTCATTTTAGTGATTCGTTATTTTAAAATTTCTTGAGTATCATGGTTTTTTCATCTCCTTACGACAATTGCAAGAGGGAGTTATTTTTCATCAGTGCTACCAGTCAAGGTTTCCTCTGCATGTCAGAAAGAGATTAAACTCAATAGCCATTGGGGTTTGGCATTTCATGGGAGTAGTCAAGATTTTACAGGATTTGGTCCTGTAAAATGATGTTCAGCATCGTCAGGAGTGGTTGTAACAGACCAAGAGGTTAGAGTACTGGACTTAGAGAAAGAGAGCAATTGTACTCAAGCACTTAATTTTTACCATGCACATCTTTGTTCCTATTATTTAATAAATTGATTACTTAGATCCCAATTATTGATTTCCCTCTAAAATGAAGTTCTTTAATGATGCAGTGTGGTGCTTAGCTGCTTTTTTGTTGGTTTTTTTTATAACCTCTTATACATCAGCATTTCCGTACCATAGTTGAGTGATAATGCAGGAAAACCCCATGCTCATAAAACTAACCCGTTTCTTCGTTAAAATGAGTTTTTACTGTGGTGTTAGAGCTGCAGCTCATATTCATGCCATATGCTCACACGCTGGCTTCCCATTCTTTAATTTTTAATTTGTTGTACTCAGGCAATTATTCACTTCCGTGTGTCTTCCTGATGCAGGTTTTGCTTTCGTTCTGTGGGACAGTGCTAATGCTTTAAAATGGTTGTCTGTCTCTCTGTCTCTTACATAAAGATTAGGAAATTAAATCAAGCATATTTCAGTGTCAAATCCTTTTTGCTCCTTGCTAGAACACATGTTTTTCAAACGCTGTAAAACCAACATGGTCTTTGACAGCAGTAAAGTGGTGTACAGCATACAATTATTTGAAGAACAAGTAATCTTTGTGGCATAGTGTTGTGCTAAACAGTGCTAGACTGAGCTGAACTGGGTCCAGGGAAGGGATTGATTCCCTCTCTCCATTGCTCCCTTCTCAATATTCATTGTCCACTCTTCCCCCTGCATTATTTCTTCCTCTGAAAGGGGGGCCAGTGAAATAATGAGATGGTAGTGGGTACAAGGAAGTCTCTAAATAGGGTTGTTTTCATTGTCTTTGCAGTGTGCGATGGTGATGACTTTACCATTATTTGGTCTATGCTGAAATGCTAATCTTCCAGGCTAAGCTAAATTACTCAGCTGCTACTTCACTGATATTTAAAATTGTTCTTTTTAACTTGAGAGGGATTGTATTTGTGCCAAAAAAACTTAGGACCAGAATAACAGAAAATGATTTCATCAACAGGAATTTGTCAACAATCTCTGTGGTTTGAAATTTCAGCGTCTACTTACAAAATTCACATTCCTTGTACCAAATATTGGATACAACAGGAGATTAATGCAATAAAACATATCACAAGATTTTTTGGTTTTGCAGCTAAGTACATTTTGATTTCCTAATATACTTAGTTTATTAGCAACTCGGTCTGCAATCTAGAATTGTGCAATTTAGGTTACACTCTAGTTTATTGAAAGGTTTAGCACTGGAAATTAATAAGCACTTAAATATGAAATGCAGATAGAAAATGAGAGATAGGGGAATTCATGTCTGGGAACAAAAAATGCCCCATACAATTAGAGTAGACTAGAAGACAAGATTAGTTTGCTGGCCTAGGTCCCAAAATCCTCTTTATAATGCTGTTCATTGCATCTTAGACCTCAGTTAGTGTTGAAAACAACTTTAATAACAAGGACCCCCGGAGCCCAGGGAGGGAAACAATGTGACTTTGGAAAGGTTACCTTCTTGTTCTGTAGTGCCAACAAGAAAATCAAGAGACCTTATCTAACTTTTTAAAATATTACTCTGTATAGAGGCCTAGATGTATTGAAATGTAAAAGTGGTGAAAGGTTGATTCTCTGAGGAGACTCAAAAGCAGCAAATTTAAGCATTAGCTGTACTGAAGCTGTTCCCAGTTAGTCTCTTTGTATGTTAGGGTTTGGAATGAATTTTAAAAATATGCCCTTGATTTACCTACTTATTATGCTACGCTTTAATGAATAAGTATTTCTCAAATGACTCTTAATACAATTCATATATGTATGATTTTCTGACAATCAGAACCATTTGAGTTGTTTTAAATTTCAAGCAAACATGATGAAAATTCCTGTTTCTCTGGAGGCATTCCAAAGGACTCAACTTTCACAGTTTTGAAGAATAAAGATACGCAAATAATTAAAAATATGTTCACACAAGCTAGGTTCATCTAATAAAATATCTTCTAGCCAGAACTACTGAACCAGCATAATGGAAATACTGGGTCTTGACAGGAAGTATACAATCATGTCAACCACAGATTGTTATCAAGGACATACATAATGAAAAAATACACAGTCTCTTTTTAACTTTTAACTTTAATGAGTGTTATGCCTCCTCTTCAGGAGGCCAAGAAACAGGAATTATGGTTGTACTTCAAGAGAAAAGTAGTTTCTTCTTGCCATTTTGCCTTTTCTCAAGCAAGCCCAAATAACAGCCATGCATTTTTGGAGTCAGGAACATGGTTAAAATGAATAGAAGAGACAAAACATATGGCTACATATTAGTTTAAATGCTCCAGTGTTTGTTGCATGTGGTAAATGCTTTTCAGCACTTAGTGCAAGCTGTACAAGTCTCGTGTTGCTGAAGTATCCTACTGTGTAAATGTAGCCATCTTGAATCTAGTAAAACTTTATACCTAGATAATAAACAAGAATGTCACTGATACAGTACTTTGAATTTATGGAACTTTTCCGGTTTCCCAGCAATGCACACTATCAGCATGATAATTTATAATGGTTTGTGACAAATGTTGCTGAGCAAAGAGGTGTGTGGTTACATTCAGATCAGATGTCATTATCTAGGGAGCAATAAAAATTTCACAGACACTAGGTTAAAAACATTAAGAAAATGAATGTGAAGCTTCAGAAGAAAAGGGCTTAAGAAAGGTGGAGGGTTGGGTAGAGAAAGCCCAATAGTGGTTTCCTTACTGACAAATTATTGACTTTGTTGCCAGACTTGACTGTATTGTTTTACAAAGTTTTCATAGACATACCACACAGCACAATTGTTTTATTGGCCATCATTTATAGACATAGAGAGTAAATATCATCCTTGCTTGACAATTAAAGAGTGTATACACAATGCTGTCAAATCACTTGGAATGGAAAAATTGCCCATTTTGGAAACATTCAAGTTGTGGAAGGAGAGATGTCACAGATAATTATTCTTTATATTACATTTACCAGGGATTAGTTACACTGATGAGATTAGAGCTGTATAGAAATTGCAGTCAAGTTATAGAATACAGAGCAAAAAATACCTATGTTTGTTTATATAGAAGAAAACAGCCCCTCCAGATCCTTGAGTAAGGAGGAAGGCATAGCTCTCCAAACCTACAGAGTGAAACTATAGCTCCATGGAACTCCTGTAGACCTGAATGATGTTAGAAACCCATCCATCCATTTTATTTCTAAATAATGTCAGTGGATTTATGCTATAAATCTGCAGGTATAACAAACTGAAGCTGGTAAAATAAACAGGAGCTAGGCAAGCCATGGCTCAGCCTTTCTTTAGTTTCTGCAAAGTTTAGGCTTTCATTTACTTTTGTCTAAATCCTGATTCCTATTCTTCCATGCAGCGAGGCGGGCTTTGTGCAGACCTTGTGCCTCGTGTTTCTCTCATGCAGAGGCAGTTTGAGCCCTTTGGGTCGAGCCGATGGGAGTTAGAGGAGCCCCGGATGGCACTGAGCTGCTGTGGCAATGCAGCGGTGCACATGGCCTAGCTGCCTGCCTAGAGGAGAACCACCAGTAAAGGACATCACTGACAGGGCTGCCTGTCAGAAGGGTCCTGTCAATGGCTGCACACATGATAACTGCTTTCTGACTCCCTAGAGGTGCGGCTAGAGCCTAGCTCTGGGCTTACCAGCCCTGAACTGCTCCCACAAACTGCCCCAAGGACATCTCAGGTGTTTAAGGGGGGGTCTGAGCCCAGGGCAACCCCATTATCGTTGCCCTCCGCTTCCACGGAGCTGTCTCCGGTGACTCTTTTCAGGCTGCGAGGAGGGGTGCAGCGCAGGCCCTGTGGGACTGGTTTATAACCGTATCAGTTGTTTTGAAGGCAAAT